CTGGAGGTCAGTGAAGCCCTCGAGACCTTCCTGTCTCTGTCTTCCCAGTAAGGGGCCACAGGTGCACACTGCCATGCTTACCTTGTGTGGATGCGAGCAATCAAAATGAAGGTACTGGTGTGTGAGTTTTTAAAATGGACAACAGATTATTTCTCCTTAGTTCAAAATATCCTGATAGCTTCCTTAACAACAACAAAAGCCCAGGCTGGAGAGGTGGCTCAGCAGTTACGAGCCCCAGCTGCTCTTCCAGAGGTCCTGAGTTCAATTCCCCAACACCCACATGACAGCTCACAACCACCTATAATGGGATCTGATGCCTTCTTCTGGTGTGCAGGCAGACATGCAGACAGAGCACTCATACACACACACACACACACACACACACACACACACGTTTTTAAAAAAGTAAGTAAAAAAAAAGTTTGTCTTTTAATACTGATATGCTTACTCCCTGTCACCCAGCTTCCTGACCGCTCCCCTTCCTCTCAAGCCAGCCACAGGACGTCCTGGAAGCTGTTTGTGACTTCAGGCTTTACACCTGCTGTTTGTCTGAAACAGTCTTCTTACAAAGTCTTGTACAATCCTTCCTTCTCCTCAGATCTCTGATCAAATAAATTACATCTAAGAGATTTGGCTAGAAAGATGGCTCAGTAGTTAAGAACCCATATTGCTCAAAGAGACCTTTGCTCTACTTAAAACAGCAATGCCCCCACCCAGCATTCCCTAGATGCTTTACCCTCTTCTATCTTCCCACAGAATCTGCAGGGCATGAAATAATCTGTCTTCCCAACACTAGAATGTAAGCCCCATGCGGGCACTGACCATCGTTTTGTTCCTTGTCTATGTCTCCAGTAATTCACAAAACACAGGAAGTACTCAGGAGGTATGAATGAATGAATGAATGAATGAATGAATGAGGATGAATAATTGAGATCTTAGGGGTTGGAGATGGCTTGGTGGTGAAGAGCACTGGCTGCTCTTGCAGAGGACCTGGTTCCATTCTCATCACCCACATAGTGGTTCACAATCATCTATTACTTCAGTTTCAAGGGATCTTACCCCCTCTTCTCACCTCCACAGGAACCAGGCATGCATTCGATACATAAATGCATGCAAGCAAAATAAAAATAAGTAAATCGGGATTTGAGGGGCTGGGAAAATGGCTCAGTGGTTAGGAGCACTGGCTGCTCTTCCAGAAGACCAGGGTTCAATTCCCAGCAACCACATGGCAGCTTACAGCTGTCTATGACTCCAGATTCAGGGGATCTGACACCCTCATACCAATGCACATAAAAATAAAAGTTAAATAAATTAAAAAAAAAAAGAATCGAGATTTGAATTCTCACAGACATGCTTAGACAAGAGACTCAAACCCTCTGGCTGAGAGTCAAGAAAACCTGTTGACACTAAGGCCTTGTTGACGACTCACCTCAGACTCAGACAAGAACATGATTTAGGTGGAGGCTGTTAGAGAGCAGACTCCCACTCTGCTGTGATTTTTTTTTTAATTAAAATGAGATTCTGCCTAAATGTTCTTTACAACATGAAATCTAATGTTTATTATGTCTTATGTTTATTATATAAGTAATACAATAAAATATTAAGTTTAATAAAACTATACTTAAATTTTTTATTTGAAGGGCAATGTTTAAAAAAAATATTCTCAACATTTTATGCTGAGAGAAAGAAAAAAAAACTTCTAAAGCCAGAGACTATCAACTGTATAATTCCATTTGTATGAAACATAAGAAGAAACAAACCTTATCTACAGTGAGAAAACCAGATCTGTGGTTGCCTGGCTTCAAGGGTAGTGAAAACTAACTGTAAAAGGACACAAATACGTCTCTATTTGTCAAAACACCTTTATCTGAACACTTTAATGTATATTTACATTTTAACTTGTGTTTGTGCACGTTTGCATGTGTGTGTACACATTTGTGTGCACAGATGTATGTAGGGCAGAGGTCAACTTTGAGTTTCCTTTCTCAAGGTCTGTCACCTTAATTTCTGAGACAGGATTTCTCACAGGGACCTGGGTGATCAGGCTAGGTTGGTTGGTTGGCCAACAACCCCAGGGATCCCGTCCAAATCTTCCCAACACTGAGCTTCTGAGGGTGTGCCACCAGGCCTGATGTTTTTATGTATATGCTGGGGACCCGATGCTCACACTCTGAACTATGTCCTCAGCTCTATGAATAGACATATGTCACTATACGTCAATTTTCCTCAACAGAGTTTATTTAAAACTGTTTCTATATTATACGTCCAGAAAACTCAAATAAAGACTATCTTGGAGGGCAGGAGAGATGGCTCAGTGGGTAAGGGCACTTGTCCCCAGGCCTGATAACCTGAGTTTGATCCCCAGGATCCACATGGTGGAAGGTGTGAATGAACTGAAAGTTGTCCTCTGATCTCCATGCTGTACTGTGGCACATGTGGAATTTACACACACACACACATTCAAAATAAACAAACAAATAAATGCATACCATGGAGGGAGTACTTTGAGCTTTCCAAGGTGATAATTTAAAATGTAAATGACTAGCTTACTATCTCCACAATGACTGAGCAGCAATGGGACACCGAAAGCAATGTCACTCCAAAGGACTTCTCCGAGGAAAAACCCAAACCCAGCATTAACCAAGACTCCGGTTCAAGTCTCACCTCCAGGAGCAGAGCCTGGGCTTTGTGCTCTGGCAGCAGACGCAGCCCGGCTGTTGCTTTCAGAACCACCGGGGTCCTTCTCCAGTGACTTCTGGGAATTGAGTCTTTGGCCACCTCTAACAGTCCTTCAACAGTCTCAGCGCCCTTCAAAGAGAGAACACACTCATCCAGCGGCAGGCCACTTCCTCAGGGGAGCAACAGAAGGAACGTGGTAGAGGGAATGCTCCAGACCCTCTGCTCCGCAGAAGCAAAACCCAGGGAAATGGGGTACTTGAAAGAAGGAGACTCCATTTCTTTTTGAGAGTCATAAAATTACTCCTTTTTAAAGATAATTTATTTATTTTATTTTTTGTGCATTGGTGTTTTCTTGCATGCACGTCTATGTAAGGGTGTCAGGTCTTGGAGTTACAGACAGTTGTGAGCCACCATGTGGGTGCTGGGAAGTGAACCTGGGTCCTTTGCAAGAGCAGTCAGTGCTCTTAACCACTGAGCCATCTCTCCAGCCCAAAACTTATTCTTTTACAGAGCTGTCATTTTGAATGATTGTTATGTTATGTTTCTGTAAATTAGATTTAGGCCATCAAGTCAGGGAACTTGCTGATGTAATGTGCGTTACACGGCTTTCCTGGGGCTTGGTTTGTCGAGGCTAGGGGCCGGGAAGTATGTCTCATATTGCCACTAAACTGCCGTGTGCACTGGATGAGGCACAGCACTCACAAAAATGCTAGCTGTAGCTGTTACCTCTAGGATAGAATGTGATAGGATCTTTTTTAAAATATCACCAGTACCAACATGCATGGCACAGCAGATCAGTAACCTATGACAAACGAAGACTGTTATTTAAAACTCCATGTTTGGGGCAGGAGAGTTGGCTCAGTGGTTAAGAGCACTGGCTGTTCTTCCAAGGACCCAGGTTTGATTCCCAGCACCCACATGGCAGCTCACAACTGTCTGTCACTCCAGTCCTGGAGGTACCTGACGCCCTCTTCTGGCCACCACAGGCACTGCAAGCACAGGATGCACAGACATACATACAGGAAAACGCCCATACACACAATAAAATGAAAAATTAATTCCACTGCTTTACTAAGTGAAAATTTATTCTGATAATGAGCTACCTCTTGAGACAAAGTATCACTGTATAGCCCCTTGAACGCTTTTTGATCCTCCTGCTTCAGCCTCCCACAGGCTGACACGACAGGTATGAGCCACCACACTCCTCCCTTAGCAAACATAATGATGCATCAGCCTTTGCAAATGTCAAATCGTCTTCTGCTCATGTAGCTGCTTTCAATAGTTCAGTCCCTAGCACATTTGCCATTTACCTACTGAACTAGAAAACGCATCTCAGTTCTTTAAGCTCACACTGTTTTATTTGTCCACTGTTTGTTTGAGACAAAGTCTCTCTGTAGCCCAGGATGTCAAAACAAGACAAAAACAATTCACTATGTCACCTAAGTTGGCCTCAAACTCTTAGTAATTCTCCTGCCTTAGTCTCCCAAATGATGGGATTACAGTGTGAGCCACCACACCTGGCTAGGCTGGCACCTAGCAAGCCTGATCAATCCTCCTGTCTCCGCTCCCCAGCAGTCAGGCAGTGACATGTCCAACTTTACATGGGTGCTGAGATCTGAGCTCAGCTCCTCACAATTGCACAAGTACTCTGATTCACTGAGGCATCTGCCCCGCTCCCACAATCTATGTGCTAGCCTTCTTCCTACTCCTTCTGAGTCTGGGGTATACAGTTACGGTTACTCAGAAGACTCACTAAGGAAGGAAAAATGGTCTCTTATGCCATCAATATTATTACTGAACAGCATGAGATGTGTAGCGACAGGGGTGTTGTCAAGGCACTGAGACCCTAAACATCAAATTAAGTCAGGCCTGGTTTTGTAGGTCTAGTTACAGCTATTCAAAGGCTGAGACAGGAGGATCACAATTTTAAGGCCTTCTAATGCCACTGAGTGAGCTCCTCAAGGCCAGCTGTGTCCACTTAGCGAGATCCTGTCCCAAATAAGAAGTAAAAAGGGTTCTTGGACAGAGCTCAGCCACAGAGCACCCACCCTGGGTTCGCTCCCTAGCATACATAACATGGAAACAAACCCGTCAATCATAACACTCACCTGCTTGGGTTGATCTGCAAACGCAGAAAGTCCTGGCTTCACAGAATCAAAAATTTCACCTTCCAGAAAGGGGAGCTGTCCTATTTTGTCCATGGAACAGAGAGAAGGGGGGAGTTACTTCAGATGCTAATCTCTAGACACTGCTGTATGATTTAATAGATTTCCACAGTCTCCATGCAAGCTGTGAGGAGTGCTTTGCAGAAGCACTGGGAGGGAGACCACAGGGTGCTAAGCAGCCCTGAGGGTCCTTCGCCATCTCTCTGGTGGGACTCTGGCTCTTACTCCTTCCAACTCGGTTGTTTGTTTTTTTTTTTTTTTTTCCAAACTGTTAATACATTTTTGAGACAGGGTTTCACTGTGTGGCTCAGGCTGGCCTTGAACTCCCTGCACAAACTCAGCTAGCCTTGAAGGTCCTCCTGCCTGAGCTCCCTGGGCTCTTCAGATAACACAAGGAAAGGAAACTGACAATCCAGAAAAAAGTTAGTCTCCAACATCCCCGCAGTCCCCTTTCTAAGGATGGCAGTGAAAACTCGTACCGACACTTCTCCCCAGAATCACTGCCAACGTTCTCAATATTCCGGACCTCTGGGGTACTAACCTTTGGAGAGGATGAAGCACGAATTACAGCTCTACTTGGACAAAACACACACTCTCTCTCATCTGAGACAGTACCTGCTGGGTCTCAAATGCCCTGTGTGGTTGAGGATGACCCTGAACAACTGATTCTGCTTTCACCACAGTCTATGTGCTGTTGTGGATCAAACCCAGGACTTCATGAATGTTAGGCAAATGCTCCTCCAACCAGGCTACGCCCCCAGTCTGTCCCACACAAGTCTCTCTTAATTCCATAAACTAAACCATGTGTTCAACAATATCAATAACCTCTCTGAAGATTCCAACAGCTGGAAGGCTCTCTAACACACACAAACACACACACACACACACACACACACACACACACACACACACACCCAGCACATCTGTTTCTGGAAGAAGATGCTAAGGTGTAAACACATGTAGACTGCAAAGGGTCCCGGCTGCGCTTACCTGCTGTTCTCTGCACAAAAGTATAAACATGAATTCGAGTTCCGGTGCTGCCTGCATCAAACATAATTCCATAAAAGGTGCTGGCACTGACATTAATGGGGCACATGGAAGACAAGAAGACACCCTCGAACCAAGTCTGCTGCTCCCTGTAGAAGACAGTGCTGCCGACGCAGGCCAGCATCAGCGCGAACAGGAGAGCACCCCAGGAAGTGGCCATTCTTCCCACGATGAGGGCTTGAGGCTGTGCTGCTGAAGCAGGGCTGCTCACACTGCTGTAGGGGCTTAGGGGACAAAGGGACATGGGTTAGCGGATGGGCTTTTATGGTTAACCTATTTTAAAAATAAACAAATAAGTAACTCACTGTGGAAACCCTACCAGTCTCCAAGGTGTTCCTTCTCCATTTCTCATAACCAGTACAACAAGCTAAACCAGGGCCACACAGGCTCTCCGGCCCTTCTTCTGAAGAGTATCTGATTGCAGTAGGAAAGTGGGATTTAAAATATCCTTTCCCACACTCTGTCCTGAATTAGAGGGTGGTGTTCACATACTCAAAGGCTGTCTTCTTCCTGCTTCTGTATGGTTCAGATTAACTTTCTTCTTTCCATTTTGACAAATTTGCCTTCATATCACACACGAACATGCCTCCATCCTCTTGGTTCTGACTGGCACTTAAGAAGTTCACTTAACTGGGCCTGATGGCAGAGACCTGTGATCCCAGCTATTCATGAGGCTAAGGCTGGAAGGATCACAAGTTAGAGATCTACCTGGGCTACTGAGTAAGTTTAAGGTCAGCCTGTTCAACTTAAGAAAACTATCTCAAAATGGAACATTTTTAAAGGGGGATCTAGGTCAACTGGAATGCTTGACTAGCATGTTCAAATCCTTGAGTTTGATCCTCAGCACCACATGAACCAGGCATGGAAGTACAAGTGTGTCATCTCAGCACTTAGGAAAGTAGAGGCAAAGGGGTCAGAATTTCAAATAATCCTTGCCTACTGGGGTGGTTTGAATAGGCATGGCCCCCAAAGACTCATGTGTTTGGATTCTTGCCTGTAGGAAGTGGCACTATTAGGAAGAGTGGCCTTGTTGGAGTGGGTGTGACCTTGTTGGAGGAAGTGTGTCACTGTGGAGGCGGGCTTTGAAGTCTCCTATGCTCAAGCTACACCCAGTGACACAGTTCACTTCCTGTTGTCTTTGAATCAAGATGTAGATCCCTCTCCAGCACCATGTCTGCCTGCACTCTGCCATGTCCACCATGACGATAATGAACTGAAGGTCTGAAACTGTAAGCCATCCTCAATTAAATGTTTTCATTTATAAGAAACCTTCCATTTATATAGAAGCCCTAACTAAGTCACCTATACTGTAAGTTTGAGACCAGCCTGGGATATATGAGACCCTGTCTGAAAACAAGGCAACAGCAGTGCTGGGATGGGGTTGCTGGGGACATAACTTGCCTACTTGTCCTTTCCTACCCTTCAAGAGGCCCGAGATTGAACCCTTAGTGCTGAAGAAAAAAGGCTTCACTTCTAAATTAAAGTGGTAAAGACGGTATCAAGCTCAGGACCTAAGGGGAGCTCAGCTGGCCAAGTGCTTGTACAGTCCGCATGAAGGTTTGATCCTGACCCCACATAGCCAGGTGTCAGTATGTGCCTGTAATCCTAGCAAATGAAAACAGATGGAAGTAGGGAGATTAGGAAGTCAAGATCATTCTCAGCTGAGCAGTGCATTTGAAACCAGCAAGATGAGCAAACTTTAAGGTCAGGGAGGCTGACACAGGCCGGTCTGTCTCTGTGGGTTTCAGGCTAGCCTGGTCTACACAGTGAGCTCTAGGCCAGCCAGAGCTACATAGTGAGATCTTGTCTAAAAAAAACAAAAAGAGTAAGATCAAGGTCATCCTCAGCTACACAATGGATTTAAGTCAGCCTGGAATCAATGAGACTTTGTCTCAACAACAAAAGAGTTATAAAACCTCTATCCTTATGCTTATTGCCTTCAAAAAGTAGGTCACTGAACTGCCTGCCACCTGTGATCAATATTGGTAGAGGGTTTCATGTACAACATTTTAAGGAAATAAGTCAACATATTTTTGTTGTTGTTGTTGTTGTTGTTTCGAGGCAAGGTCAATACAATTTAAAAACACCTAACAGGACCACCATGGGCTTTAAGTTCCAGATCATGTTATTGCCACGAGAACTTACGAGTGAATGGACAGATTTCTTGTGCACTGATCTCTTTTGCCCGTATACAGGTCTGTGTACCATGTGCATGCTCCATGGCCAGGGAGGCCTGAATGGGAGTCAAATACCCTGGAAATGGAGTTACACAACCCCTGTTCATAGCCATGTGGGTAGTGAACATTGAGCCTGGGTCCCCTGGAGGAGCAGCCTGTGCCCTTAACTGCTGGGCAGCCTGTGAATGGACAAATTATGGCGGAGACATTCTACGTCTTGCTGGAAGTCATAAAGCAAGTCAGTGGTGAAATCCTGACCAGAAATCTGATGTTTCATCTTTCTTTTTCTCTGATTTCAAATTCCCCTCTTATGGCAAGTGTATATGTGTTCATGTGTTGAGACAGGGTCTATGTATCCCTGGCTGTCCTGGAACTCACTATGTAGACCAGGCTGTCCAAAAACCTACAGAGACTCACATGCCTCTGCCTCCCAAGTACTGGGATCGAGGGTGTGCGCCACCACACTTGGCTCTAGCCACCGTATTTTTAACTGTGCCCTCGGAAGAGACAAAAGCAGTAGTTAGGCAACTATTTGTTTTGAATTTGTCCAGTCGCTGCTGGAAACCTAGCACAAAGGCATGGAACACAGCGGAGAGAATAGATGGTCAGGTCCGAGTCCTGGGTTTCAGCTCAGCGTGTGTCTCTACTGGGGAGCCACACAATCCTGAGGGGGTCCCTGAGCCCGAGCCTTCACCCCCGCCTGTAAACAGGAAGAGCAAGTGCTCTGTTTCCTTCCTATGTGGTTTTCTGCTACACGAAGCCTAATTGGTCTTATAATAAAAACCTGGAGCCAGATATCAGGGTACATGCTGAAGGATCAGAAGAAACAGGCCACAGCCACTTCTCACCTCACCAGCTCTCATCAGAAAAGGGAAGACCCTGTCTCCACAAATCCACAGACTGAACGCCCCTGAGTCCTCAGCCGAAAGGGCACTGGACTCCTGTCTCCTCCTGCCTTGTATTCCTTTCTCTGCCCAGCCATATCACTTCCTGTCTCAACCTTCCTAGTGCTGGGATTAAAGGTGTGTGACTCCCAAGTACAGAGATTAAAAGTGTGTGCCACCACTGCCTGGCTGTTTCTGTTTTAGACTGGATTAATCTCGTGTAGTCCAGAGGGGCTTTGAACTCAGAGATCCAAATGAATCTTTGCCTCCCGAGTGCTAGGATTCAAGGTGTGTGCCACCACTGCCTGGCCTCTGTGTTTAATCTAGTGGCTGGGTCTGTGTTCTGATCTTCAGTCAAATTTTATATGTTAGAGTACAAACAAAATATCACCAGTTTTCTCTTTCAAATCACAAGATATTGTTTAAAGATTGATTATATTAATATCTTCTAATCTTTTCCTAGGACTGATGTTGTGGGAAATGGGAAGAGACAATGAATTTGTTATTATTGTTATATTATTATCAGTTATTATTATTATTATTATTATTAACACTTTCAAAATGTACAAGAGGCTTTTTTCCCATCATAATGCATCAGAGCCATCAAAGGAGTTGTGAATGTTCTTGAAATCTGTGATGAAAACTTTCAGTAGCAGGGCTAGAGAGACAGCTCAGAAGGTAAGATTATGTTCTGCTCTTACAGAGGATCCGAGTTCAGTTCCCAGCACTCACACGGAGTAGTTTATAACTGCCTATAATTCCAGATCCAGAGGATCTGACACTTTCATGCAAGTACTCACCCACCACATAATTAAACGGCACATGCCTTTAATCCCAGCACTCAGGAGGCAAAGCCAGGCGGATCTCTGTGAGTTCGAGGCCAGCCTGGTCTACAAAGCGAGATCCAGGACAGGCACCAAAACACCACAGAGAAACCCTGCCTTGAAAAAAAAAAAAAAACAAAAAAACGAAAAATAAATAAATTTCATTAAAAAAACCCAAACCTTCAGTAAGAGCATCAGTGGAACAATGGAATTGACTCTACCTGGTTGTTTTAAACATTTATTCTTTCCTAGATGGACATTACATGAAAAACAAAACAAAACAGAACACTGTTTTGTTGATTTGTAGCTGAGCTAAACTATAAAGAGAACTAGAGGTCTTCAAGTCGGGGTTTCTCAGACTCAGCACTAACATCTGGGGGGGCTGGTTCTTAGTCACAGGCTGTCCTGTGCACAGGCGGTTGTTCAGCAGCATCTCTGGCCTATTCTCACTAGACACCTGCACGAGGCTTCACTGCTGCCCTCCCAGTACACCAGCTGTGACAACCAGGGGTGACTCTGGACGTCTCCAGCCATCTCCTGGCTGTCTGCTCCTGCTTTAGGCCGCACATGTTCCTGGTATTAATGAAAAATGACACAGCTATCCTCTAACAGTTAAGTCTTGCTTAGTCAGCAATTAGTATTTACTCCAGACAGTTCTGAGTCTTCTGATGCAGCTTTTATTTCTGTATTTTTTATGTTAAGTCACAAATGCTGGTTAATTCACAAGATCTGAAACCAAAGCTATTCCCCAGGCTTTTTACCTCTAATAGAACACTTGGTACATTTGGAATATACAGATTAGGGGTCCTTGCTTATTCTCCTTTGTTAACCAGCTGGGGTTTGTTTAACCAAAACATCTCTCTCCCCAGAAACAACATATTACATAAAGTAAAGTAAATGGAAGTTTAAACTTGTAGTTTAAAATCATTTAAAAGAGGCCAGGCGGTGGCACATGCCTTTAATCCCAGCGCTCATGGGGTAGGGGGGAAGCAGCCAGATCTCTGTGAGTTTGAGGCCAGCCTGGTCTACAAAGTGAGTTCCAGGACAGTCTCCAAAGCTACACAGTGAAACCCTGTTTTGAAAACAAAACAA